GGTCGTAAGGTTTTTGTACATTTTACATTTTTGCGAAGCGTCCCTCATTACATAAAGGGAACGCCCGCCGCGTTATCCGCGCCGCGACCATCGTCCGCCGCTGGCGTATACTCCGCGTCCGCGAATTTGTATCGTCATACCGTCGACCGCGCCCCGCGTCCGTCTTGGGATTTAAAGATCCCCACGTGTTTTCCGCCGTACTCGCGCCGTAATTTACACGTCTAGTTTTTCTGTTCGTGCCGTCCGTAATATCTTAGTTTCTTTGTCCGCGCCTCGTAGTTTTTCTATACACGTCTTGTATCCGTCTCGTCTACTTGCCGTATCGACAATATACACATCTACACCGGCACACGAATACACACCTGCTTGTCATTTACGAACACGTACACACACTCATTTGTAAATACACACACTACACACAATAAACGTTTCTGTCTCTTGTAAAATACTGTGTCTAGTCTAATCAGTTGATTCTGCATTCTTTCTTCCCGTGCGAACCTTTTTCGCGACTAGCGAAATTTGCGACGAGCTAATCCGCGCGGAAATTAGGTTGTTTCAAACTCAATATAAAACTCAATACATATCTACATAAAAGTATAATATAAGTACAAGTATAGGTATAAATATAAGTATAAGTATAAGTATAAGTAAAAGTAAAATACATATTAAGAAATACATTTAAAAACGTATAAAATACATAAAACTTAATATAAAATACATACATAAAACTCAATACATACATAAAAGTACAATATAAATATAGGTACAAGTATAGGTATAAGTATGGGTATAAGTACAAGTATAAGTATAGGTATAAAGATACAATTAAAAATCGGGTAAACCTTTACAAAAGAGGACCACCCTCCGATGACCTTGACCTTGACATATGCTGTCAAGGTCATGACCCTGAGTAACCTCCTACAGGTTTTAGCCGTCGCTCGCCCTTCGTTAAAAAGTTATTAACAATCATAGTTCTAAAATATACGTTTCATTTCTGCTATATACGTATGATATCAAGTACTATTCTACACCTTTCCCTGTTCAGAAACGTTAAACTTTCCACGCGAAGTAACCTTCACCCCCCCCCTCCCTGCACAGGGGCACACGACTTCTACGATTGTACTGTTGCTATGATAGTACTGTTGGGGCAGACCACTGTGACGGTATGGGTGCGGGGGGGGGTGGCCGAAGGCCACTCCCTTGCACCCGCCCGTGTGTGTGTGTGTGTTCTATTCGTTATAGAACGATTATGAGTCTATTACTTGATATTTCGCACGCACGCACGCACGCACGCACACGGGCGGGTGCAAGGAGGTGGCCTTCGGCCACCCTCCCGCACCCACACCGTCACAGAGGTCTGTCCCGACAGTACTATCATAGCAACAGTACAATCGTAGAAGTCGTGTGCCCCTGTGCAGGGGGAGGGGGGGGGAGTGAAAGTTATTTCTCGTGGAAAGTTTAACGTTTCTGAACAGGGAAAAGTGTAGAATAGTACTCAATATCATACATGTATTATATATTATACCTTAATTTTAAAATTGCAACAGTGCAATCATAGAAGTCGTACGCCCCTTGGAGGGGGGGAGGGAAAGAATTGGTGTTCGTGTAGTGTAGGAAGTCAAAATGTATGTGTAGAATAATGTTTAAGATGGTATATAGCAGAAATAAGACGTTATTTTTAAAACTTTGATTGTTAATAACTTTTTAACGAAGGACGAGCGACGGCTAATACCTGCCAGAGGTTACTCAGGGTCGTGACCTTGACAACATATGTCAAGGTCAAGGTCATCGGAAGGTGGTCCCCTTTTGTAAAGATTTACCAAAAATTGCAAACTATACTATCTGGTAATGCCCCCACGGTAACGTGTTCGTCGAGTCCGGTACGACGTACCGTTTGTCGTCGTACGGTGTTCGTTTAAGAACGCTCGTAGTAAATTTGGGTGGCGGGAACACGCTCCGAAGGCAGAGAACATCACATAATTAAAATGAAATTTATTGTAAAAACATTTAATACAGGAAAAGATGGGCATCGATTTGCTTAACGTGATTAACATTTGTAATTTGTACATTGAAATTAGCACTTATTGCTCGCATTTGTCAAGAACAATGAAATCATGAAAGGAGGCATCGCTCCAACAGCAATTCAAATTCCGTGGACTAGAGTGAGAAGGAAAATGAGACAGCGGGCCACGCTCGAACCGTGTATCGAGCCCCGTGAGTTAGAATGAGACAGCGGGCCACGCTCGAACCGTATATCGAGCCCCGTGAGTTAGAGTGAGACAGCGGATCACGCTCGAACCGTGTATCGAGCCCCGTGAGTTAGAGTGAGACAGCGGGCCACGCTCGAACCGTATATCGAGCCCCGTGAGTTAGAGTGAGACAGCGGATCACGCTCGAACCGCGGAGTCACAAATGGGGCAAAATTAAAATCAAGCGGTCACTAATGTCTACATTTATATAGTTTGCTGTTTATTCTTTTATATTTATTAGATTATGTTTGCAACCCCAATAAAGCATGTTTTTCGATATAAAAATGATTAATCTTGAGTTTGGTATAATTAATTCCTGATTTTAATCATTCTAGAGTATTTTTCATTCGTATTAACTCATGCGATTATAGTAGAGTATATAGGCGGGTTCTAATCCAGGTCCTCTGAGGGGGGGGG